GTCTGCCCACTGTTAAGTTAGCCCAGCCTTCCTTAGTCAGAGTTCAAATGGGCTCAAAGTGGGAGGGTAGTGCCCTGCTGCCTTCTTTGGGACATTTAGGTTAATGCCAGCCAAACCCTTAACCCATTAACTACATCTCCAATGCAGAACTAGGTGAGCTGCAGTTATGTGGCCACTAGGCTAATTTCCTTACCTAACATCTAGACATCTGCCTGCCACCAACCTCACAGGAACAATGCTTAGCTGGGGACCTAACTGGTGCCAATCAACCCCACTGTCCATCTGTAAGAAGCACTATCCATGTATACTTTCTGTAGATCCATGTGGTCCTGCAGAATGTTCCTCACAATGGAAATGTTCCCTCATCTGTGCAGCCCAGTACGGCAGCCACATATGGCTAATGTATTGAGTGGAGCAGATACAAAAAGGGCAACTGGACAATAAATTTCAAGTCCCTTTATATATATATATACATATATATATAATTTATATATATATATAAATATAATTTGTAAAGCTTTCCCTTCTCCATCAATGTCGAACTGCCTTACAACGTTCTTGCCAGTACCCCCAGCAGCAGGGGGGAGTGGTGTGGGCCCCCACCTGGGGACAGATGGCTGAGGTATCCAGGTAGCTGCAAGGCTAATGTGGGCGGAGATGCCCTTTCCACTCAATGAAGCTCACTGGCTTCCTGCAAAAATGCAAAGGGTGGGGGGTAGGGGAGAGGACCAAAGGTAACTGAATCCACAAGCAACACTTTACTTCCCTATACACATAAACCAGTGCTGTCCCACAGAACCTTCTTCGACGAGGGAAATGTCCTGTGTAGCCCATGAGTAGCAACTGAGAGCCCACTACATGTTGGCTCTTACTACACGGCACGCACGACAGATGAACAAGTCCTTAGACACACGTTCTGAGTCCTGTAAGGACAGTCACCACCATGAGTGCAACCAGGACCTTTTCCCAGGAGGGAGTATTGACATCCTGAAAGATGAATCGGGGGAAATCCCACCCCTTCCCCACATCCCAAGCCTGTCTCCCTACAGGTTGGCACTAGGAAAAATTCCTTTCCAATCCAGGCGCGGCCCTTAGTGGTTGACTTCAGAATGCACCCAGGAGGTTTCTCCTGTCTTCATATTCAAGTTTACGGATCGTACACGTTTCTACCGCTCCTCCTTGACACGCCATTACAAGAGCAGCAAAGGGACTGAAAAAAGACAAACTCAAAAGGACACCTCACACAACCAATGGCCCACTTGGCTTCCACTGTGCCCACACACTGGACTCTATTGGAGGTGCAGGGAGACTGGGAGCAGGCCTGCTCCCACCTGCCTCTCCCACCCATCCACACTGACCCTGGAGTGGCGTCTTCTGGAAAGGCTTACGATCCAGACTGGCATTGGGCTGGGGTGTTTTTTTGCATTCGTTTTAGTCCAAGACCCACCACAAACGACCAAAGCACAATCTCTGAAACCGTTAAGTCCCGTGACAATTGTTTATTATAAAGATGAACCCTCATCCTCACGATAGGCTTATCGGTAGGATTTCTGGTAGCGAGCACGGGCACCAGGACCGCCAAACTTTTTGGATTCGCAGCGCCGGGGATCAGCTACCAGCAGGGTCCGGTCGTATTGGATGAGGATGTCTTTGATCTCCTTCTTGGAAGCCTCATCCACGTCTGGGAATGAAAAGAGAGTGAAGACTGAGGTAGCCATGGAAGCGCCCTCCTAGTCGCTCAGGCTAAAGACGGGGGGCTGGTCCTCCACTTGCCACCCACCCACCCACCCACCCATCGGGAAGGAGCCATTCTCACTCACATTTCTGGTAATAGGCCACCAGGGCTTTGGAGATGGACTGGCGGATTGCTGTGAGGGAAATACATGCACGAGAGAGTGTTCTCAGCTTTGTGAAGGCCCAAGAGTAGGGCCCTGCTCTCAATTGTCACCTCCCCACCCCCACGTGCCCAGTTCCTGGGACTCACCATAAATCTGGGCCACGTGACCACCACCCTTCACTCGGACTCGGATGTCCACCCCGGCAAATCGCTCCTTGCCCAGAAGCAGAACAGGTTCCAGTAGCTGGAGGAACAGGGGACATGACAGGATTTTAGATCACAACCCGGGCAGCTGAGTGAGCCTTGATGCTTTTGTTTTACCTACTTTAGGTCTCAGCTCACAGATCCCCACATTCACCTCCACCTCCCCCAAGCCTAGGCTGATCCTTCCACCCAGGCGGAAGCCTTCTCTGGGCTCCCCCATCCCAGCCCGGACTATGTTGTGGCAGGGCCTGGTACTGAGTCCAGTCTGTCTTCTCCACTGGACTGGGAGCTCTATGAAGGCAGGGCCTGGGGATAACTGGATCACCGCTGTGTCCCCAGCACTCAACGTAAACTACACAAACAAAACCTTTGTATAAATGACAATCAGTAAGAATAAACCACAACGTTTGATGTCTGCAATGCAAAGGGATCCCAGACATTGTCATATTAAATTCTAACTAAACCTGCAACAGTGTTGTTTTTCAGAGTCAGAAAGGTGACAGACTTTTATTAATACCTTGCACACCAGAAACTAACGTTGCATTTCGAGTACACTAAAATTAAAAAAAATAAAAATAAACTAAAAGCAACGCACTTTAAAGAATGTGTTCTCATACGCACTAAGAAGCTTACACCGACAAACTAATCTATCCTCAAAACAGTCCTTCAAGACAGAAAATTATCCCCCTTTTATAAATGAACCCAAGGGAGAAAAATGAAGTTACTTGCCTCAAATAACAACACAGGTAAAAGAGGCAAAAAACAAACCCTGCTCTTTCCATTCTGAGCTCAAGAAACTGAGGCCAAAACTGGCAGGGGAGGAACCCCTTTCACAGCAAAGCACGACAAACCCAAATTCTGTTCGTGTTCTTCCAATATTTGATTATTAAGCACCTACAATGTCCAAATTCTACTTTTTAGACACAAGTTTTAACAAACCAGTTGATTTCTGTCCTCAGAGAGTGTATACTCTAGGATGGAAAAGACACTTTAGACTGTAAATACGACACACATCCCCCATTAACCTACTACAAGAAACCAAGCCGCACAAGCTCCCCTTATCCTTCAGTCCCCAAATGACTGGGGTTCCAAATGTCCCAATTTTGAAAGCACCCTTTTAATCTGCACGTTTTCACTGTCCGCTCTTATCACAGTATCTGAGCCCCCCGAAAATCCAGCTCCATCTCCAAAGACCCTTTTTTCTGTCCCCAACTCAGCTTCTAAACATCCCATTGCTGATACCAGATTCCTCAGCTTCCAAGACCAAGGAATCCCAGGAACCCATTTAACTCTCTCTCTCTCTCTCTCTCTCTCGCCCTCCACTCAACCCAATCGCCCACCCTCAATGCCAGCACCTTATATTGCAGCGTGCGAGGCTCGATCATCTCCAGGGGCCGCCCATTCACCTTGATGAGGCCGTTGCCGCGTTTGCAGTGCGCCACGGCTGTGGCCGTCTTCTGCGGAAAGCGAGAAAAAACAGCGGAGCCACGTGAGCTTCGGCCCCCGGATCCCAGATCGACCCCAGAACCTGCCCGTAGGCCCCTGAAGACCCCGGCCTCCCTCCGCCCCTCCGATCGGGCACCCAGCCTACCTTGCGTCCGAAGACCTGCACGGACTGCAGAGGACCCTTGGACGGCATGGCTGCGAACGTAAGAACTCCTCACCGCGCGGTGCCGCAACCGGAAAAGGAACATGCGGGGCCACCCCGGCCGCTTTTCAGGGTCTGCGCAGGCGCTTTGGGTGCTGTGTCGCGACGGGAGAGCGCTTTACGGCTCATATTGCAGCCAGAGGGCGAGACTTCGGAAGAGCGGCGGGAAGGGGGGGGGGTTCCCAGAACCGGAGGAGGCGGGACCTGGGAGTGGAAGGGGCGGGACCTGAGGTGCGCTGGGTGCAATCGCGGAAGGATGAGGGCGGGCTGTTCTTCACATTCTCGGTCCTCGTTGGTCACCGCCGGTTCATTTGCATTTCGGCTCTTTAATAATCTTCCTCCACCCAACGATCAAGTCTCACCCTCCTCCGCAGAGCCTCCTTTTACCCCGTGCACTGGTCGTCCTCCTCTGTAGACTCCATCCTGCCCTCTAGACACCCTTCTCCCCAAATCATCCTCCATCAGAATCCACAGCAGGAAGTCAGGCAGGATTTCCAGATTCAGGATTCAGAACCCACCCCCTCCGAGAGTCCTCTCCCAGAATCTTTCCTTTTAGCGCCCCTCGCCCAGAATCCATCTTCCACCAGAATTTCCTTCCTTTTAGAGTCTCCTCCTCCCAGAATCCCCCTCCTCGGAGCCCTCACCCAGACTTCCTCTTTCCCTGAATCCTCCTCCACTCAAGAGCCCCAGAATCTACTTCTGCACGCAATCCACCTTTCCCAGAACAGCCCCGTTAGAATCCCCTTTCACAAAATCTCTCTCGCTTTCGGAGCCCCCTCCTTCCAAATCTACATTTCCTGAGAATTCCTTTCCCTTCAGAGCCTCCTCTTCCCAGCAACTGGCTTCCCCTCGATTCTCCACTCCTTAGAGACCCTCCCCCCAGAATGCCCCCCCTTCAGGGTCCCTACCCTAGAATCCCTCTTTCTCCAGGGTCCTTCAAATCATCTCTTCATTTCCTCCGGCAAATCACCCTACTCTCCAGGCTCCTCCCCGCCCCCAGAATTCTCCATCCCCAGCATCCGCCCATCCCATCTGAGGAACCTCAGGATTGAGTTGCCCCTCTGCTCCCCCACACTCAGCATACTCCCTTCCCAGGCAAAAGGCTTCTCTCTCAGAGCCGCAGAGAGCCCACGGTTGGTTGCTTCGTTTCTCTGGCAGCACTGAGTCAGAGGTCCAAGGTTCAAAGGGTGGTGGTGACTTACCTTGTGCCTGGAAGGTGGAGAGAGGGGGTGGAGGTTGGTGGGTGGGTCTGTGGCAGGAGGGAGGATCCTCAAGCCCAGAGTCCAGCTCCAAAAGGGTGAGAGAGGGGAGAGGTGGAGGGAGGGAGCACCCAGAGGCTGACCTGGGGGGACACAGACCGATACACAGCACAAGAGAGACAGGCACACATGGAGAGAGACAAAGAAGGGGCCAATGAAGAAGAGGAGAAAGAAGACAGACACAGGGTCAATTACAGATGGACCCAGAAAACACAAGTGACGGCGATTCGGAGGCAGAGAGGCCAGCCCTCAGAGAAAGAAGACGGACAGGTACAGGGAAGCATGGAGATTCCAAGATATTTGAAATATGGAAATACCTGATACAGAAATAGAAGTAGAAAGGAGAGCAAAGACCCCCAAATATGCACCTGCAAACACAGATAAAGTCTAGCAGGGGTGTTTTCCGATGAGAAGACAGGCCACAGGATTCACATACTCTCACACATTCTGTACTACCTTATGGACCTGTTGGGGGAGGGGGGTGGGACGGGACTTCCCCAAATCCTCCAATCTCTCTGGGCTGATCCTCCTGCCCTTGCTGAGTCTTATATCTTCCTGTGGGTGGTGGGGGAAAGGTGTCAGGGAACCCTCTGACCTGGACCCTCCCTACTGTAGGGTGACCATCTTCCGCTGGGGCTCTTGGAGAACATTCCCTGAGTATCTGTGGGTTGAGTAGAGCTGGGCAGGAAGGGGTCAAAACACTTCAGTCTTCTAACCTGCTCTGTCTCTCTGTACTTGTTGCTTCCAGGACGCTGGGCTGGGACCAGAGAAAGCCTGGGGGGTGGGCAGGGTGCCTGTGTGGCCTCTCTGGACCATCCTCCTCCTGGTACGGCCCTTGGGAGGCCTAGGATCACCTCTCTGTCCTCGGGAGCCTTTCTACTTTCTAGTTGCCATAATGAAGATGCTGGTGAGGAGGAGGGAGGGGAAAGACAGCAGACAGGCAGGGAGGGGGTGGGAGGGCATGTTTGAGGAAGGGTCAGGCTCTCCCCTCCAAGATCTGATTCTTCTGCCTGCCCCAAATTATAGGGAAACAAAAACGAGGGCACTCTCTACACCCCAGATGATCTCTCGGTGAGTATTTCATTAGCTCCTTACTGGACCTTGGAAGTTTAGGGAGAATCCACTAGGCTCAGAACATATGTTGGGGGCAGGAGGCAATGGGGCTGGTGTTCTGGCTGTCCAGCTGCTGACCCAACTCCCAGCCTTCACAAATATGGTTTGTTCACTGCTGTCTCCAACACCTATTGTTTTTTTAAGATTTATTTATTTATTTGAGAGACAGAGAGCACATACACACAAGCAGTGGGGAGAGGGAGAAGGAGAGAGAGAATCCCAAGCAGATTCCCCACTGAGTGGGGAGCCCAACGCAGAGCTCAATCCCAGGACCCTGAGATCATGACCCGAGCCGAAACCAAGAGTTGGTTATTTACTTATTTACTCTTCACACTGACCCTATGAGGTAGATAGGGCCACCGCATATGGATGTGAAGAATGTATATTGCACAAGGATGCCGCATCAACAAGGGCAGTATTCACACCCTGGACATATTTGTCAATTTCTGGTAGATAGCAGTAATGTACCTTGTTCTAACAAGCACTTCCAAGTGTTTTAAGAAAGCAGTGTCATTTTCTAGGTATAGGCTAGTGTCAGCCCTGAAGGTAGGAATTCTTCAGAGTTCTGTTTTACGGATGAGGAAACTGAGGGCCAAAGAGGTGAAGGGGCTTATCCTAGGCCATGGTTCAGAAACCCCAGGGTTGGGGATTTGGGTTCAGACCCTTGCCCAGAGACACCAAGTCACTCTGTTCCCACAGGTGTGTCCTGCTGAGACTCTAGGGTGCTTCCGGCTGGAGCTGTCCGTGATCCAGTTTGAAGAGGGCCCATCCTTGGGGATTGCCGTGTTCCGGCTGCAGCGTCTACTGGATGCACTGGGGTCCCGGCTGTGGGTGACTGGCCAGGGCCCTTGTCCACCCTGTGAAGGACATCCCCAGAGACCTGTCCCTCTCTTTCTGGCCAAACTCTTGGAGTTATTACAGGGGGCCTGTGCTCGGCACCGGCCCTCAGCATGAGCCTGGGAGGACACAGACTCCCTGGTACTGCTGGAGAGGCTGGGTGGAGAGAGGGAGAGAGGACTTGGTCTCTAGCCTCAGCTAGAGTCCTAAGCCTTCTCCCTCTCCTTTTAGGCCAAAGGACTTCATGTGCAGCCCAAGGAGCCAAGGGGAAGAGGAGAGAAGGAGGAAAATAAGATCCGAAGCCTGAAGTCTCTGACCTCCTGGGATGGGGGGGTAGATAAACTGGCCCCCGTTTGCCCCTATTCTCCTTCTCAGATACTCACTCCTCTCTCCTCTTCCAGGAAGGGACAAAGCATGACACAGGTGTCTTCTAACTGAATCCCACCCCTAGAGGACAGGGAGAGTCTTGGACCTCAAGTCCCTGATTGCAAATAATTACCACCTGGAGAGATTTAAAGTAATACTGATGGCTAGGCCCCAATCCAGAGATTTTGATAATTGGTCTCTGGTGGATCCTGAACATCATAGTTTTAAAATCAACTTCATTGAGGTATATTTGGCATGTAGTAAAAAGCATACATTTTAAGTGTACATTTCAATGAGTTCTGACAAATGTATACACAGCCACATTTCCATCACCCCAAAGCATCCCTCATGCCCCTTCCCAGTCAATCTTCACCAGTCGTAGACACCCACTAATCTGCTGTCTGTATAGATCAGTTTTGCTTTTTCTAAAGTTTCATATGAATGGAATTAGAATATGGATATATGTATTATATATATTATATATTTATCCTAGTGTCTGGCTTCTTTCACTTGGCATGATGTTTTTGAGATTCATTCATGTGCATAGCAGCAGTTTACCACTATTCCATTGTATAGACACACCCAATTTGTTTATCCACTGTGCTCATGATGGATATTGCGTTGTTTCTACTCTGGGTCTACTGTGCATAGCTCTCTTCTTGTGTCTTCTTATGTACCGCTGGGGTTGAGCCTTGAGAACCACTGATACGCCAAGGAAGAACTTTCTATGGGGAGGAAATTACTGTTCCTTCTTGTTCCTGGAGTAAATGTCTTCCTACAGCAATGTCAATAGGCATTTTATATGTGGAATCCTATTTTGAAGAGCTGCTGTTAGCGACAACCCCTCCCCAGTCTGTCTTGGTTTCAGTCTGGGATTGTTGGATCAGGGAGTGTGTGCTTATATAGACATGCACCTGTGGTATAGTCATTTCCTGGTCTTGCGAGCCAGCTGGTTGCCCAACCACACCATGCTACCCTGTAAACTAGGTGCATATTAAATTTCTGTAAATTGAATCCAGGTGTCTCAATGCTTATGCAAGAAATTTTAGCAATGTGTTTTAAAAGTTTCTGATCTGTTGTCCCCTTCATCAGATTCATTTTTCTTATCTCTCTCTCATGCCCGGTCCTCTTTGCCACCGTCAGACAAATAATTACTAATATGTAAATTCACATTGATTTAAACTTAGGGATTTGTAAAGGAAAACAAGGATTTTCAGGGTCACCTAAACTTGGGGAGGAGCCTTAGGTCTGCCACTGTGCAGTTAGTTTATTTCTCTGAGCTTCAGTTTCCTTGTCGGCAAAATGGGGGTACTTACCTCCTAAGAATGTTTTAGGGGGTCTAGGAGATAAAGTCTGACTTATTTGCTAATCCGTTATTATTTGGTCATTCCATGACTCCTCACGGCTTGGCACACCGCGTTAGTAAATTCAAGCACGAATTCCTGGCTGGAAATGCTGGTCGGTGAATGAAAGTGAGAGTACCTTAACCCCTCTTTGACCCTCCCAAGATGTCGACTCCATGCTCTACGTTAAGATAGACAGGCCACTTTCAAGATGGCGTCCTGGAAGTGCGTCGCCGGAGATTAGCTCCGGAAATCTCGCGTTAGGCGAGGCCAACGGGTAGGTTCTCGCGAGAGGGCACGTCAGTCCCAGCCGGGCGTCGTGTGAACAGCTGCTGGTGCCGAAGGCTGAAATAAAAACCGGAGCGGTGAGGGGTGGGTCGGACGTCTAGGTAGCAGCGCTGGGGGTCGCCGGGGCCCAGGGAGGCTTAGAGCCCGGATTCGGGGAAACGGAAGGTGTAGCAGGTGGCTTAAGGGGTAGCCTTTCGGGCTCACGGTTGCCAGAACGAGGCTGCCGGAAGTGCGCTAAGGGATTTTTCTTCTCCCGGGAACTGGCGGGGAAACTGAGGCTGGGGTGGGGCTCCTGTCTGGAGGACGCACTGAGGCCGCCGTCTTTTCCTGCAAGAGCAGAAGATGTCGGACAGTGAGGACAGCAACTTCTCCGAGGAGGAGGATAGCGAGCGCAGCAGTGACGGCGAGGAGGCCGAGGTGTGTGGCTGGGACATGGTGGGGAGGCATAGCGCCTGGGGACAGGACCAGGGCAGAAAGGCCCCTGTGGGAGCTCAGAGGAGATCAGAACGAGCTCTGGCCTCTGGGAGCTTCCAGGCTGTTGGTAGTGATAGAGAAGTAGGTAAGCCTAAGTCAAGCAGAGGGACAGGTGCGGGAGGCCCGGGATGCCCCAGGTACAGTGAAGTAACAGGTGATGTGTATAAAGGACCTGGCATATAGCAAGCCCTCACTGTTAGTTTTTATGAAGAAGTGTGCTCCGTCATTTCGAAAATATATTTTTAGTGCCTACTGTGTACTAGGCACAATTCTTTGTCCGGGGGTTGCACCAGTAAACAAAACAGATTTTGAAAGTCTTTGCCTCTGTGATCGTGAATAAACATAACCGATAAGTATATCGTTTAATAAGGCAGAGAGTACCCTGGAGAAAAGTAAAGGGGAATAGGGAGTCTTGGTCAGTTTTAAATAAGGTGAGTCTGAGAGGGTGATGTTTGAAAAAAGATGTTGTGGGAGTTGAGGGAGTGAGTCGTGTGGAGGAAAAGTGTTGCGGTAAGAGGAAGGGGAAGCAGCACATGCAAAGTTGGGAGCGTGCCTGCATGTTCAAGAAGTAACAAGGAGTCGAGTTTGGCTGGATCAGAGTGAGTGCAACAAAGAAGTAGCAGGAGCCAGATCGTATAGGATCTTGAAGGTTCTGGTGAGGAATTTGTCCTGATTGAGTGCGACAGAGCCGTGAGAAGTTTTGGAGCAAGGAAGGGGTGTGATCTCATGTTTTGAAAGGATCACTCTGCCTTTGGATCTATTGAACATTACTATTTCAGGAACCAAATAAATATTTCCTGGGACATACCTGATTTTAAATACTCTACTATTAACTGTTTTCTTCTTTTGTTTATTTCTGACTTATTTGTTGATTAAATAAATGTTTGAGCATCTACTACTGTGTTCCAGATTCTTCCGGGTGTTGGAGAGAGTGGAGCAAGGCAAATTTTTGCTTTCACGGAGTTTATACTTAGTAGGCAACAGTTAACAAACTGATAAAAAGATGACTCGATGATTGTAGATGTCTCCTTTAACCTCCAGAAACGTAAATCAATTTTTTAAAGTTAGTTGCCATCACTTGTAAGGGCTATTTCATGTAAAAATCATGATTTTTCCGGGAAAGTGAGAGAAGCCAGCAACCTGAGACCCAGGATTGTTCTACCTAGCAGCTCTTTGCTCAGGAAGTATCAGCCTGCTGGAGAATGGGGAATTTTCTCCCAGTTCCTGGGATGTATCAGTTGCCATTTATCGTCATGCCTACCTTCGGGGGACTTAAGTAAAGGAAAGATTTCATGTACTTGTGTCCTGGGAAATATCAGGTAGACAGAGAGTACCATAGGTTTCCTTTGAGCTGTCCTCCTTACTTTGGTTCTTTTCTTGATCTCTGTAGGCATTTGATTGTCAATCCTTGTGCCCTCTGGGGAGTCCTCAGCTTCCAGTGAAGAGTTGGAGGAATTGGGAAGCCATGGTGGGGCTGAGGCAAATGGGAGGATGCTAGGAAGGGCTTTTGTTCCAAGCAATAGCACTGGGTTCTTGGTCTCTCTGACTCATGGCTTCAGGGCATTGCTTGTGGTTAAATCCTGGTGGTAATGAGATCAAGATCCCGGGGTCCTTTTCCTGGCTGCGACATCTGGTTTGCTATGTCCAAATGTCACTTCCCCAACACCACACCGGGCTCCTGACTCACCTGCTGGCCTATCTGCTGTCACCAGATGAAGCAAGAGGACGACAGTGAGAAGCCAGTCAGAGATGGGACTAGATAGGCTTTTAGGACAGCCAGAAGTTAGCATATCCTTGAAGGACCAGGCCCTGTAGAATGAAGTAGGTAGGGATGGCAGATGATGAGCCGCTATTGGGGGAATGATCTGTTTCACCATTCGCAGCCCCAGTAACCTGCTCATTCATTCATTGAACAAGTGTTCCTAGTTTCTATCATGTTGGGATCACTGGCTCCCTCATGGAGCTCTCTGTCTTGGGGTGGAGATAGTTTTATAAACAGATGGTTCCTTCAGGGGATTGTGAGGACGGACAGTGTTAAGAGCGCATTCAAGCCCCAAGATAACACAAAGATAGTAACGGGAGTCCTCTTCTCGGGGACTGGGGACCCCTCAGGTTTGGAGAGAGGGTTTTGCTGGGACTGAGCCAGGGGAATGATGACAAGGTTCCTTGAACTCAGGCTGTGGTCCTGTTGTGGTTTGAGCTGGTAAGATATGGGACATTGTGGATTAGGGATATGTACTAAACAGATCTTTCAATTGTCTTCTGTTCCCATCCCTGGACTGGGTGATGTTGGGGACCCAGCAGTGCCTGAGATAGCCTGGGCCCAGCTCTTAGGGAGCTCTCAGTGGTCAAGACTGTGATGGAGGAAGCTAGAGAATGATATGCCTGACTTTGCTGGGGGCGGGGGATAGGCATGACTTCCTGGAAGAGGGGATATTTTGATTGAAGTAGGAGTGAGAGGTAAAGGAGAATAGTTTTTTTGTTTTTTTTTTTTTTGCAGAGGGCTAGCATGAATGATGGATAGCACTGAGAGAGCATGGTACAAGTGTTTCACTGTGGCTGGGACCTAGCATTTGGAAGGGGGAGCCCAAAGAGGCAGGATGAAAGGGAGAGGCAGTGAGTGTGTATTTCTAGTCTAGGCTGCTAGGGAGCTCGTTCTTTACCTGAGGGCAGTGGAAGAGCCATGGCCATGTTTGAAGCAGGGAACCAAATGATCCGTTTCATGTTCTAGATCATATTTAGTTTGCCAAGACTACGGAATATACTTTAGGTCGGGGGTGATGAGAGGTGCTTTCAGGTAGAAGAACAAGACCTTAAGCCACATTGAATCATCATGAAGTTATTTTCTAAGTTGCCTGTCCTGTCTTTTGATTGGGTCATGGAGAAAGTTTTACTTTGGTGCTACTGTGTCTTGAACACTTTTCTGAAATTTGCTTGTCTCCATGTTTATCAGAACAGGCTTTTGGCTTAGAGCCTGCAGCTGGCAACAGGATCATGCTAGGACTTAATAATAACATGTTTTGCTTTTATCTTTATGGTTACTTGTTGCTTGTGACAAGCTAACTTCGAAAATGTCTTTACTTCTGAACTATTTCAAAGTATGGAAAAGTTTCTCTGTTAAGCTAAGTGAAAAATGTGAGTGAATTTAAAGAAAATATCAGGTAAATGAATTTAAAGAAAATATGAAGAATATCAGGTAAATATTAGGTGAATTCACACTGATGTGAACTTGGCAAAAAAGCCTGAAGTTAGTGAAGAAGAGATTGAAGTTCGGGGAA